TGGTGGGAGAGTGCCCCTGGGGTCACTCCCCAGTATCACCAAAAAGTAAAAAGAATGATCTTGTTGCAGGTGTAACGAAGACATCAAAAATGGGATCACCAACCTGCTTATGTATGTGAAGAGCATGAAGGGTCTTGCAGGGATCCGAGATGCCATGTGGGAGTTACTTACCAATGAATCCACCAGTCACAACTGGGAGGTAGTGTGTCAGAGGCTTCTGGAGAGGCCACTCTTATTCTGGGAGGACATGATGCAGCAGCTCTTCCTGGACCGGTTACAGGTAAGGTGGAAAATCACATGGGCCATAATTTCACAGCCAACCCTAATGTGGTCTGGTGACTGTCTTGGGAGTCTTATGTCACAAGTGCCTTCTTTCCCTACTTATTAACACAGCCAGGTTCTAGAGCTAAAAAAGACACAGGCCTTGGGCCTGGTGAGGTGGCCAGAAGTGAGCCCATGTCCATCAGTCTTGGCATCTTTGTTCTCTGCTACACCATGTCAGCTTCCTGAACATGAAGAACATTCTGATTGCTGGGATAAATTCTGATTTTAGTAACTCTTGTTTTGAAATTTCCTTAAAAGAAATAGGGATCAGAACTCTCAAAAGGGGGGCTAATGTAGCTTGGTGGGAGAGTGCCCCTGGGGTCACTCCCCAGTAGCACAAAAAAAGGGAAAAGAATGGTCTTGCGAAGACATCCAAAACAGAATCACCAACCTGCTTATGTATGTGAAGAGCATGAAGGGTCTTCACATTCTCTTCTCATTCTCTTTTAGACTCTGACAAAAGAAGGCTTTGAATCCATCTCCAGGAGCTCCAAAGAACTCCTGGTCTCAGCTTTGCAGGAGCTTGAGAGCAGCACCAGCAACTCCACATCAAATAAGCACATCCACTTTGAGCAGAACATGTCTCTCTTCCTCTGGTCAGAGAGTCCCAGTGACCTGCCTCCAGATGCTGCCTGGGTCAATGTGGCAAACCGGGGTCAGTTTGCCAGTAGTGGCCTCTCAATGAAAGCCCAAGCTATCAGCCCTTATGTACAGAACTTCTGCTCTGCCCTGGATTCCAAACTGAAGGTTAAATTGGATGACCTCCTGGCTTACCTTCCCTCTGATGATGTGCCTCTGCCCAAGGATGCTGTCACCACTCAGACCAAGAGCTCTGCCTTTGACAGATATGCAGATGCTGGGACTGTGCAGGCCATGCTGCAGACGCACTCGGTGGCATGCATCAAGCACATCCTGGATGGCATCCAGGTGGAGCTGCAGAACATTGAGGAAGTTGTGCAAGGCCAGCAGGATGTGCTCCAAGGCACCAAGCTGCACGCCGTGCTTTTCATGGCCAGACTCTGCCAGTCTCTAGGAGAACTGTGCCCCCACCTGAAACAGTGTATTGTGGGCAAGTCCAGGAGCTCTGACAAACCATCAAGGGAGGCTAGGGCTCTGAAAAAGCAGGGGAAGAGCAAAGCCCAGGAAATCCTTCCTGTACAGGCCAAATGGCAAGAAGTTAAAGATGTACTCCTCCAGCAGAGTGTGATGGGCTACCGGGTCTGGAGCTCAGCAGTCGTGAAGGTGAGTGATGGGACTCCATAGGATACCTGGTTTACCTTTCCTTTCTCATGCTTCAGCCGACCTGTGAAGGTGCTTCTATAGGAAGGGAATAATGATGCTCATCTCAAATAGTTACTTTGTCCTTATTTCTGCCATATGGCTCAATAAAACCTTGCATTTGTTTTCAGCCTAGATTTTATAGACAGAAACCCTGCATTTTTACCTTCCATTGGATGGAAATGAAAGGCTTTCTGCCTGGGTGAAGGTCCATATTTCCAGGTCTTCCATGTAAATGCCATAATTCCTTCAGTCTCTACTGGTCTTTCACAGATGACATTTGACATTAGTAGGGAGGCCAGCAACCACATTCCCACTGCTGATCATGGCACTGGCCAAAGGGGAGAGGTGCTGGCCACTTGGCATCCCACACCCAACCCCCAGGAGTGTGCTGAGACTTCTAAACAAACCCTACAAAAGCCCTGAAGGACTTATGTGGACATTCACTTTTTATCATCAGGTTCTGATTCATGGATTCACCCAGTCATTGCTTTTAGATGATGCCGGTTCAGTCCTGGCCACAGCTACCAACTGGGATGAATTAGAAATTCAAGAGGAGACAGAGTCTGGCAGCAGCGTCACATCAAAGATCAGACTTCCTACACAGGTAAGTACATGCCATTTATCACAGGGACTTGGGCTAAAAAAGGAATAGAACTGCTTTGGAGGAAGCAAAACAATTTTAGAAAATCATTCAACACTGCAGTTTCTGAGTAGTAACTGAAAGTAAAGTTCACTTTACTGTGGGGGCAAAGTGGATGTAGCACCACTTCAATAGCAGAGTGTTTTAAGAGGTCAATAAGTGTAATGAGGATTGTAATGCATTCCACTGTGGTTGTGTATTAAAAAAATAAAATAAAATAAATTTTAAAAAAAGATCAGGGGCTGGGGATGTGGCTCAAGCGGTAGCGCGCTCAAGCGGTAGCGCGCTCAAGCGGTAGCCCTGGCGTGCGTGCGGCCCAGGTTCGATCCTCCAGCACCACATACAAACAAAGATGTTGTGTCCGCCAATAACTAATAAGTAAATAAATATTTTTAAAAAATAAATAAATAAAATTTAAAAAGGTCAGTAAATGATTCTTTCCTTTTGTAGCATGGGCTCTGTGCTATTTAAAGAACAGCCAGGCCAACCTCAGGCCATGGAAAGGAGTACTTAACAAGGGACTGCTTGTAAGACGCTGGATTAGAGAGGGCACGATCCCCATGTGTGTGCCTTGTAAAGATAAATGGACCCACTTTTACTATGAATGGTCATTTAACTGATGCAAGCTGGCACATGACATTCCTGTGTTCTTTCAGCCATCCTGGTATGTACAGTCCTTCCTGTTCAGCTTATGCCAGGAAATTAACCGGGTTGGAGGTCATGCTTTGCCAAAGGTGACACTGCAGGAGATGCTGAAAAGCTGCATGGTTCAAGTGGTAGCTGCCTATGAGGAACTTTCTGAAGAAAAGCAGATTAAGGTAGGGGCCTGAGTGTTTCCCAGTAAAAACTAAAACCCTTAGCTGATTTTCGGCTTGGGCAGTTCACATCAGGGTCCAAAGTGTTTAGTACCTACCCCAGGCATTTGGTTTCATAATATGCACTAATAGATTTGGAGTGGCTTCCAGCTCTGCCATTTTCCACCCACACTCAAGGGTCAAACAGGTCTTCATGGAGAAGGCAGGTGACAAAAGGATAAAAGCCATCACGGGATCAAAGACCCAGCTTCCAACCCTGGCACTGCCAGTTCTTACCAGGCAAGCTTTGGGCCAATCATTAACCTGTTTCCTTAGCATCAAATGTGACCAGTAGCTGACCGGCTCAACTGGTTTCTTCACCCATAAAATGGAGCACACCCCACACTGTGCCCACCAGATCAGAGCAGGGCAGTAACTCTGAGGGAGGCAGGTACAAGCATAGCTTGTGCACATGGCAGTGCTCACTGAAGGGGGTCTCCACGCCCTCTTGCTTTGCATGACACTTTCTGCTCGTGGGTTCCGTTCCATTCCATTCCATTCACAACATTTTTGAGAGGTACCAGTACTGGTTTGGGAGGAATTTGGTTAAGTCCCTGGGTTCCCACACATCCACCTCCTTGTGCAGGAAGCCGTGTTCCTTTGTAGTAACCCATCGACAGTACTGAGACCTTTAGGGCTGGCACTTTTCATGTTTGGCTTTAAGATGAAATTTTTAACATAGCATGCTGCTGTTGTGAGATTAAACTGGCCCTGAGTGGGTACAGTCTCAGCTTCTGACATACCATGCTGAGGCCACTCACAATACACAGGTGGTCATTGTGCCACAGAAGCCACTTCTCAACAGGGTGGGAATTCACTTGCAGAGAGAAGGTGCATTCCCAGTAACCCAGAACCGGGCACTGCAGCTCCTCTATGACCTGCGCTACCTCAGCATCGTTCTGACAGCCAAGAGTGAGGAGGCGAAGAGTGGCCGCAACAAACCAGACTCCAGGTGTCATACCCTCCCTGGGCTCCCTGAGGCAGTCTTCTTACAGTGCAAGTACCAGTACTGCCCACTTCCAGGGGTCTGTCTTGGGGTTTTTTTGACTTTACTGTGGTGGGTAAGCGATAAACATTCAGTGGAAACTGTAGTTCAGAGTTTGAATTTGGATCTCTCCCTGACCACGATATGTGACCCTCCCCCACATTGCTACATTCTGTTTTGCTGGTCCATGATGTTCAGCTGTGAATTTATGTATACTTCAGCTCATGGTGGGTTTTTTGGGATGTGGCCCCACCATAGTCAAGGGGCATCTGTAGCTCCTTCCAGGATTCTCCTCAAGGTTTGTCTTTATCAGGAGTGCTTATGTTGCCAGCAAGTCAGATAATGGCTGCCTGCCATTCTGTAGAATTTACCAGGTGGAAACTCATTACTGAGTCCACCTCACAAATGGTGGGTATAACTTGAGCTCTTAATGGTCCTCCTAAAAACACAACATGCACAAGACGCAGACTTGACTTCATCACAGCAGGTTGATCATCCATAACAAAAGTACCTATCAGCAATTCAGTTGAACAAAATCCACTTCATGGTTTCTATCATACCTATAAAATATAGTAAGACAGTTTTCTTGTCCTCAAAATTTGTGGAGAATAATGGTCCTAATCCTCTCAGGATTGAGAAAGTGACTGACCACCTGGAGGCACTCATCGATCCATTTGACCTGGACGTTTTCACGCCACACTTCAACAGCAACCTCAACCACCTGGTGCAGCGGACTTCTGTAAGTCAGGTCACAGATGCCTCAGTGTGAAATAAGTGCCACAGGCTCCAACTGCAGAATCAACCTTCTACCTTACTTAATACTCCAGAACACAATCTTAGGAAGAGGCAAGACACAAACAGCTGAGTGCAGTTATAAGGACTAAAAGAGGGTTAGATAAAATCCCACACACTGGGGTACCATGATCATGATCCCTTTATTTGTACATAACAAATTATTAAAAACCCAAGCCTCAGAAAGAGGAATAAAAAAACTGTTGCCAGGAGATTCTGATTGATGGCAGTGATAAAAAGTAATTTGAAGCATTAACACACTGAAAAGAAGAGCCCCCAGAGGTCATCCTCTCCCATCTGGACAGCCAAAGCCCCACATTTTACTGTGGTCCTTTTGTCAGGTTCTGTTTGGTTTGGTTACCGGCACTGATAATCAGTTCACCCCCCGGAGTGGCACATTCAACTCCCAGGAACCCCACAACATTCTGCCACTGGCATCAAGTCAGATCAGGTAAACAATTTTGAGACTTTGCTGGGCCCCAAGCTGCCTGTTCATGCCACTGAAATTCTTTCTGCTCGTCTTGCAGGTTTGGACTTCTTCCACTGAGCATGACAAGCACTCGGAAGGCTAAGTCAACCAGCAGAAGCACTGAAACAAAAACCCAGGTTAGTGCCAAGAGCAAAAGGGTCTTCCCTGTCGACTGTCCCCATTTCCCAAACCACCCAATCAGCTCCCTTTGAAAAAACTGATAACTGAATGACAAAATGCACTAATGCTGCTTTTAATGGCGGCACAAGAAATACAAGGTTGTACGGGCTTGAGCTAATAGAAGGTTTTAAAGATGCCCACTGACACTACCAAGTAGCCTCATAATATAAATGTATCCCAAGCTGCAAGGCTGTAGAAAATGTAGACAGGATGGAGATGGTTCCTTGCATTTAATAGAGTAAGAGTTAATTGCCAACCTGCCACTATGATTGTACTTGGAGAAAGTCCTTTTGTTCTGGTGATGGTTTAATCTTCCATTCTTTTAGTTGGGTGGAAAATAACAAAAGCTTGCTTCCTCAAGTTTTACATTTTCTTGTTAATATACATTTTGTTTCAGTAGGATGCCTCCATTAAGCCTGCAGGAGTCCTCCTGGGTATTTCTGAATTTTGTTGTGTATGCGTGTGTTTGAGAGCTCGAACAGCCTGTCTTCTCACAGCATTTAGTTGTTGTTTGCTTTATTGTTAGACAAAACATTAGCAATGTGTCCTTTGCATATTCCTTGCCATTAAAATCCTTGTCAAACATCTGGTTTTTAAAATCTGAGTTTTAAAAAAAAAAAAAAACTTCTTGCCAAAACCCCATGCCCCATAAGTATGGCCTGTGCTATAACGTCCTCTATAACACTAGTTTCCACAGCACACAGCTGGCCTCTAAAGTCTGTCCCTACTAAAGGAACACCCATGGAAAGGAGGTATGTGTTTGTTATTTCCCTAGGACAATCTTCATTCTCAAATTTTAGTTGTCACATAATAAAATCCCGTGCTGTTCCCCATGTCCTTTTCCAGTCCTGACAAACAGCAAACTCCTCTTAGTAGAGTCATCCACGCTTCTCAGCTCTGCTATGTATGCTGTGTAGCCTCCGAGTGGAATGGAGTGTCAGGGGAGCGGGCAGGTAGCTTCCGGTGGACTCTAAGGCACTTCCTCTACATCCAATGACAGGTTGGTCCCCCGGAACTCTCCAAAGCAGATGACCCAATGCATCCTGGCTCCTTGTTCAGACAGCTCATCAGCGAGGAAGATGACTCATCTGCATCTTCATTATTCAAACTTGGCTGGCTCGCTAGTATGACTAAGTAATCGGGAACACTTCTATTCTAAATAAATACTTCTGCATTCTTTCTCCTACAGGTGCCTCTGCTCATTTGTTTCAAATCCACACCAATCTTTCCAGTTTAAGTGATGGAATGAGGCCCCCTGTCACATTAGGGGTGACTTCAAGCAAAAGTAAATCCTTGTCCAATACTTTGACAGTCTTGTTACTTCAGGTATCAGTTCGGGCAGCTTATGTTTCTTCAGTACTTGCATGTGCCTTAATTTTCACCACTGCAAGGGGAATTTTCAGTGAGATCACATAAGTTTCTGATATAAGTTTGTGAGTAAGACAGTCATTACTACTCCTTGACTTTTGGAACTGTGCAGTAGAGTCTGGGGTGCAGACTCTGAAAGGAATATTGGTACAGAGTTAACCTGGGTACACAAGGACATCCTCCCTAGAAATACAAATATATAACAGAGAAGAGACTATTACTAGGGAGTGCGCTTCACTTCCACAGTCTAAACTGGATGGATCCGATTATTCTCCTGTTACAACAGAGTACTTTCCACAGAACATGTACATACTAAGAGGTAGTATGGCAGTTAATTTCAGTGCAAGACTGAATCAAGCTTACTATATTTTGGGGAAGAAAAAAAAAATACCCTTGTGTTTTTTCATGGAAACTAGATACTCTTTACTAGTTTATTGAATTAAAAAATTGAAGATCCCGCATTTTTAAAAGGCCCTTTACATAAAGTAGAACTTCTAATTGACAGATTTGAAGATCAGTCTGAACTGGACACACTATGGATGCAACACACAGATGAGATTTCCTCACACCACTTCCTTGACATGGATTTGATACCCTCCCTCAAAAGAATCCTATAAAAAAATTGCTTCAAAGCCCCTTTGAAATTGCAATAGTGCAGCAAAACCACAAGTAAACAATTGCCTGTTAACCTGTTATTTCAAATATAGACTGAAAAGCCAACAGGCATTTTTTGTGTGCAATTTTTTTAAAACAAATTGTAAGTTGAAATATCAAATCTGCACAGCGCTGTCCCTTCACAGAAGGCAAGAAACTGCCCACGCATCATGTCGGAGGCCGTCCTCGGTGCTGTAGGCTGTGAAAGTGGGCCTCCTTCAGGGTCTGGTTGATGTGGAAGTAAGGGCCTTGGCACAGTGCAGACTGCTCAGGCATGGGCTGAGGGGTATTGGGGCTGGATCCGGGCATGACCTGGCTTAGGCTGCCCTCTGGCCCGCTGGCCCTGTCAGGGCTGTTGATGCTGCTACTGCTGCTGCTGCTCCCACCACTGTCACTGCTTGAAGACTGAAAGGAAATGGAAGAGCCAGGGTTAGCATACACTTGTTCCTGCATAAGAGCTTTACTGCCCGTGCCCTATTAAGAGTTTTCTTCCCATTCAGCTCCAAGAGTATTGGCATGAGCACATAACTTGGCTTTCAGGTTCATAAAGATAAAGCCATTCACCTAAGACACTGCATTCTATCCTCACATCAGCCTTGCTGTAAAGTGAGATAGATCACCCCTGTAACACAGCCCTGGAAGACGGTGCATCCAGATTCAAGCACAGACCTTCCGACTCCACATCCTTTAATTACTTTTTTTTGGGGGGGGGGTAGTACTGGCTATTGAACCCAAGGCATTCTATCACTGAGCTACATCCCTAGCTCTTTTCAATTTTTATGATACAGTCTGGCTAAGTTTTCCAGGCTGGCCTGGAATTTGCAATCCTCCCTGCCTCAGCCTTCCAAGCAGCTGGCATACACCACCATGTCCAGTTCTTCAATTATATCTTTGTTCCTTTACATAGATCTTCTCTGCTTTTACCATTCATTCCAATAACCAAAGAAAGAAGTTCTCAGCCTACAAGGAGAAGTATCAGTCATTGGTATCTCAGCCTACAAGGAGAAGTATCAGTCATTGGTACAGGGTATAAAAAAGAAAAATGAAAAAAGTAGGGGTCCCCTATTACTAATGAGATGGGTTCTGGGCACATGTGCACAAGATAAACTATGCCAATTTTGTGATCATCTCATCCAGATACAATGGTGTTCTACAACCACTCAGGATACAAAATATACTATAAAGTTATATTGGCATTTTTGCACAGTATGCATATGTATATGTACAAGCACGCTAAATTTTCAACAAAAATAAATTTTCATCAAAAATAACATGACTTAAGTGTTTTAATCATATTGAAGACACTCAGAGGTCCCTGGATCAAAGTCAAGTCACTCTGAAATGCCCACCTTCTGACAGTAGGACTTATAAAATGGAAGGTAGTGCCAAGGATCCATTTCAGAATTATGGCATTTTACAATTTGCATTTGTATGTTAACATGGTGTTTGAATATGCCCTGCTTAGCAATTCCTTTCCCTAATTACCTGAACTATACTAGAACTAATCAATCACAAGAAAATTATGATTCTAATAATGATTCGATACAAAGATTGTTTTTAACTTGGCCCTTTGATAAACTCAACTTTACCCTTAGACAAAAACACTGGTTTTGGAATATCTGCTTATAACTATAAAATAACACATAAAGTACTTTCGAAAACAAATCATGAGTTACACTAGAATGGAAGGATTACAGTTACTTATTTTTTCCATCCTTTACTATAACTTTTTTGTAATGTGATTATTAAATGTTCATTATAAAAATAGTACATACGTATACATGTGTGTGCACATTTAATTTATGTCAGTATCACTTTTATTTGGGGGGGGGATTTGCTGGGGATTGACTTCAAGAACACTTGTCCACTGAGCTACATCCCCAGTCATTTTCATTTCTTATTTTCAGACAGGGTCTCACCAATTTGCCAAGGCAGGCCTTGAACTTGTTATCCTCCTGTCTCAGCCTTCCAAGTTGCTGGGATTACAAACATGTGCCACCATGTCCAGTTTGTGCCATAATCACTTTTGAAGTCAAAAAGCCAATTGAAAAAAAATTTTACTCTACAAAGACCTCTCCTAACCTAGTATAACAACCTAGGATGGCCACGTACCCCTTAGGAAACTCAGGAATGAATAGGTCATTCATTGAATAGGTCACTACACTGGATCAGAAACCCACCGCGCAGAACGCTTTGCTTCCTCTTAGTCTGTTTTCTTTACTGTTTTTCGTTACAGGTACTGTCTGAAAATTAAGGCAAGAACTAGAATCAGTTTGAAGGAAGTCAAATTTTTATCTCACATTATATTTACTTCACACTACAGAAGCAAAGTACTACTTCGAAAAGTAAAAATTCTTTAAAATAAACCACTGAAAAGATTCTTATAGAGTAACTACTTAAAAAGAGGCTAAGTATACTTGAAATTTGTATTTCATTTTTTAAAAATCTTAAAATTTTATAGTGACATGTATAAGAAGTGTTTATTGTAGCCTTATTTATAATAGCTAAAAACTGGAAACTACTCCAAATATCTAACAATAGGGGATTGGTTAAATTTTAATACATCCATTATATACATACATACTACAGAATTATATCCAGCATTGACAATGATGGTAGAAATAAACTTGTTCTAACACAAAAGAGTCTCAACATTTTTTATATCTGTTTTTAGTATATGTCAGCTGGTTTTTAAAAGCTTTTCTTTTTTAATATATACCCATGTGCATGCCTATCACAAACAGTATGGAAGATGTATGTAACAAAGCATTTAGAACTGGATCTTCTATTTTTAATTTATTTTCTACAAAAAAAAAAAGTAATTTGAGGACAAAATTTGATCGTGAGCAAGTGAACTAAATAAATGCTACTACATCTTACTTCCATCTTAAGACTGAGACTCTTTAGGAAGATTGGTTTATCCCCCTAACGAAAGAACTTATAAAGCTTTCTGGCAGTGATGACTCCTCAGGAGAACATGTCTCTTGCAAAGGATCTTCTTCATCCCTCATCTTGAGAAGAGGCAAACAGCTCCACCAGAGCAAAGCCCCGTGTCCCCCTTCATGGAGGTGAAAGGCCCAAGATGCTAAAAGCCATTTATGCCCATTTAGCCATGCACATACGGTAGTTCTGTATGGTGGATGCTCTTGTTCTCTGCCAGCCTACAGAAAAAACAAGGCTTCCAGAAGGATGTGGCTTTAGACATGGATCACTAAAAATAACCTCAATCAAGAAGAACAGAAAGCCATTCCAACACACACATTTCAAATACTATCTTTAAAATAATAAATAAATAAATAAATAAATACGTGTCTCTCGAAGGCACTCAGCTTTTTCTGCCAGCTCAGTCCAGGGTTCTCACTATGGGAGAGGCTTTGAGAATACCTCACAGTCTACAGATGGGCCAGGATTTTTCAAATTGGGGGTGAAACACATTGGTAGATACAACCAGGCTAAAGGAAGAACACAGTACAACCTGGTAGGCATAACTCCTCCGTGAAGGCTTTCTTCAATGATTCACAAATATAATTGTTACGTACTCAGTCACAAAATATAGCACTTTTCAATGGGACAAGGCTGAAAAAGTTTGAAAATTATAGTAATTGATCTTGGAACACTGTGGAAAAAGTGGTCTGCTTTATGGGAAAAAGAAAAGAACATTTACTTTTAACCTAAAAGGCATTAACACTGAATTTGAAGTTTCTATTAGTGCCTTAAAGGCATACACAAAGGCAAAATGGTTTTATCATCTAAAGCAAAAAAACTTGAACTAGGAAAAAAATAAGACTGCTCTCAACTGATGATGCTTTTTAATATCAGATTGCTTGAGATGGATGGTATCAGATAGTGTGTGGTCCTGAAAGTTAAACTGCTATCTTAGCATTATAAAGCTCATTGACTAGGGTATTTTCACGAGAAATTCATATTACCAATCAAAAGAGAATAAGGTCATAATGTGTGAAATAATAGACACTTGAAAATTCATGAACATAAGCAAAATAAGTTGATGAAAACTCTGACCAAAAAACCTCCCCATACAATATACAAAAGCAACTCAAAAGAGTGCTGTTTTGAAGATCTGTTTAAAAAGGGGAGGATTCTACATTATCTTAGGCAACAATAAAGTCTACCATAATCTTTTAAATGCAGATACCTGGGAGAGATCCACAAAAAAACAAACCAAAAAACTGTCCTCACAGTCCACTATGGAATCACCTTTGGCTTAAGTGTACATGCCAGGTCCCACTGTAAGACCACACCTGGTCAATGGCAGGGCACAAACGGTTCTCATGTCTAACCACTGTTCACAAGGTCTAACAGGTTCACAAGGAGGCATTTCACTGGGGCTGCTCAATCATTCAGTTAATATTTGCTGAACTTGATCCAGAAGAAAATGGTGCCAGTGCATCCACTGATAACCACAGACCAAGGCCACCAAAGTGAAAGAATTCCAACAATGGGGAGAGGTTCCTACGTGAATGGTATGTGTAGGGCCTAGAAGGATGAGGAAGACTTTATAGGCAGGAAATGATAAACTGGAGAACAAGAGCAAAGTCAAAAGAGGAGTATTCTGGAGAGGAAGATCTAATAGTATAGTGTGACTGGGCTCACAGCAGGAGTTGGTGAGAGAAACATAACCAAGTAGCAAGACTCCTGGAATCTGCATGCAGAATTTCTAAGCAAATAAGCCACACTCAGGTTTAGTCTTGGGAGTAAGAACTCCAGGGATCTGTGTGTGAGAGATGAGGTGAAGGAGACAGAAAAGAGCCCCACTGGGAGATTTCCTCACACAGCAGGAGGCAGGCCTGAGCCACTGTGGGAATGTAAAGTCTATGTGCCACACCCCAGAGGAGGATGGGAGGGACTGCAGAAGGAAACTTTCAGCTGACCTGGAGGACCCAGAACATGCATGGCTAATAGCAGCTGCTCAGTACACATCTGCTCAATGGAAAGACCACTGGTGAACCTCGTGTAAAGGAGGAGCCAAGGAGGAAGCCAGGCGCAGAGAAGGAGGGCAGGCTGATGAGAAAGTACCCTCATGGCTATGGACAACACAGCCAGCAGGGGTAATGCTGGAGAAGAGAGGAAGCTGAGGAGAAAATGAGGCAAAGAGAAGAATTAGGAAGGAAAAAGAGCACCTCAGTAGGCCCGTGAAAAACCAGTGGATAAGAAGAACCTGAGAAGTGTCAGCAAGACCCTCAGGAGGCAGAGGGACAGAAAAGCGTAGGTGTGAAGCAGAGGTCAGAAGCTGAATCAGTTCATTTTCTCAGGCCACAGCCTCACGTTATTCACCAAAGATAAAGAACTCCTGGTGCAGCAGTAAGGCCTGCCTTTGATTTTATTTTTCTAGGGTGTGAAGTCAGTTCAAAAGAGAACCCATTTATGCCCATGGCAGAAACCAGATACCTCTAAAGACTATTTTTCCTAATAATCTTTAGAAAGCTGCCCAGGCAGGAATATTAACAGTTAAAATCTCTCTACTTTGTAAAAACAGAACCAGAATGTATGTATGAGTATATTTATTATCTAGAACCATATTTTCTCCTCTTAATCAGAAAAGCAGATCAACATTAATATTTTTATTTTCGTCCACCTCCATTTTCCCATTCACTGGTGCTCTTAATTTACATGAGTCTCAAAAGAAAAAAGAAATCTTACTCACAGAATATATTCTCTGGAATCATAACGAGGCTCATTTTCATTCTAGGGCAACTGCAGGATCTGAACTAAATGAGAGAGACAATCCTAGACAAGTCTATTAAAGCATGTGCAAGTGCCCAATAATTTCAGAAAGCTCAAGGTTTGCTCACACTAGTGAGATCATAAGATTCCAAATTAATTCAGTGGATTAATTAAAACCACTTTCTAAATAAGCAAGGTGAGAAAATGCAGGTGATGGGGTCCTTCCAGCATTGCCAGAGTGACTTGACTCAGGAGCTGAAGAGGACTCCAAAGGTGGGAAGTGAAGTCAGGGCTCAGTGTCTGTCAGTGTACATTTTGTGCCCACTGTTTCACAGCTCACAAAAAAAAAAAAAAGGAGAAACACTGCAGTGAATAAAGATTCCTCTGCATTGTAGTATCACTTTTTCTACTATATTTGGCTTATGAAGGAGGTTAACAATGGAAGAAATGAAGAATGAAGCTGAGACCACTTCCAAGGTTTCTATGCCCCTCTAGGTTAAGTATCCTGTGTTTAATGAGCTAGAAAGAATACATTTGTCTGCATCTTAGACATCGAAAGCCACTTCCTTAAGGCTGAAAAAGAAAATCCAGGTTTCACACAAGATACCACTATGAAAATTTTAGAGAAAAAAAATATAGACGTTAACTTCATGGAGACCCTTCTTCATATGGCAGCTAATGATGGAGAAAAGCATATGACTGAATGACCAAGCCAGAATTCCAGACCAAAATTAAAAGGCAGAAGCACTTAAGTAGATTCTCAGTAAGCTCCCAGATGAGACCAGTGACAGAACAAGGTTTCTGCAATCAATGATATAGCTGGTGCAACAGAAGAACTTCTCAATCCAGTAAATAATGTCTTCAAGAAACATCAATAGCAGAACTGCAGGGCACTTGAACGCCAAAAGAAAAAAATCTGTAATGTACTCCAAAAGTTGCAGTGATACTCTAAAAACATGTAAAGGTAGCAAGGCAATAAATTTATTCATAAGTGCCACTAGTTCATCAAACCAACTTGATACTTTAGAATCTTCAAAAACTATGGCCTGAGAATTGTATGCCAAGAGATGTCCTTCTCAATGGCAGTATTAAACTGCCTTTATCTACTTTAAAGTTTGACTGTATCAAGTATCAGTCCCACCTAAAAGGATCTAATCCAGGATGCTGAATAGGATCATTATCATCTGATTTTATTTTTGTAAACTATAGCTTAATCATAACCTCACACTGAACATTTCACATCACTTTTGCTATTATCATTCTTTTAAGAATTAAAAGCCAAAAAAATTTACATCTTAATATGGCACTATATAACATTCCTTAAAAGAACTCTAACTGGCATTCGTTTCTAGCATTTTAACTTAAAAGCAATAATCTGTGAGATAATGTATTAATATTTGATGACAAATATTGTTTACATGTATTTGCCAACAGTTTATTAAATACTGCTTTACTTGAAAAAGATGCGTGTGTGTGTGTGTGTGTGTGTCTCAACAGAAGGCCAAGACAACTTGGTATAATGTCTAAAGAACTCCTAATGAGAACTTAATAACAATTTATCAAAAATAAAGCCACAAGCCAGGCACAGTGGAGCAAGCCTATAATCCCAGTGGCTTGGGATTCAGTGGCAAAGCACTAAGCAACTCAATGAGACCCTATCTCTAAATAAAATAAAAAATGGGGCTGAGGATGTGGCTCAGTGGTTGAGTGTCCTTGAGTTCCATCCCCAGTACCCCCTCCTCAAAAAATAAATAAGCAACAAGAATTTCTATATTTTGTCCTTAATCACTTTCAGCAAAAAGTAGTCAATGGAAATGCTCGTTAGTCATTACAGGGAAAAGTACTGAATATTTTTAAGAAACTTCTAAGAGACGACAGTTTACAGTATCTTCAAACAATGTCCCTTTTTGAACTGTGTAACATTTTAGATTTTTACTTCAAAAATTAAATATTTCTGGTATGCTGGTCCCTAATAAGCTTTGCACATTTCTTTTTTCAAACATAGCCACAATTAACGATAATTTAAAACTATATCAATAGTTGGTTTGAAATTGTCATGTTTATACTATATATACACTCTTCAATTATGTACACTTTTGTTTCACCATAGAGAAGTTTTAAGAAAATTATGTATCAAGTATTCATGTTATATGACTTCATTTTCAATTATAAAATAAAGGGAAAAAAATCAGATTCCCAATGGCTTAGGAGACTGAGGCAGGAGGATGGCAAGTTCAAAGCCAGCCTGGGCAAATGCAAGGCGCTAAGCAACTCAGTGAGACCCTGTACACAATAGAGCTGGGGATGTGGCTCAGTGGTCAAGTGTCGAGTGCCCCCGAGTTCGATTCCCAGTATCAAAAAAGAAAAAAAAAAAAATAGAAGTACTTTTTATAAAGCATATATCTAATTATCAGAAGCCAGATAATACATGGAAACTGCTAATGTCATTTGTAGATAAAGACTAATTAAAACTGAAGGCAAAGAACCTTCCTCCTACTATGCATAAAGATACAATTCCAACTGCAAAGGGCAGCCTCTAAGAGAACAAATATGACTAAGTAAAATCTAGCCAGTTTCTACCCATCCAAAGAGCTCCTCAAGATAAGACAATACTGCAACCTTTATCTAGGACCCACTGGGAAGTCCCAAATTGACAAATCATTTTACTTCTTGCTCACCAAGGAAAACCAAGCCTAATTTAGGCTAACACGATGCATCTGGAATGATTTAACAACAACAACAAAAAATTAATAATATACTGGGGTAGCAAATTATACCTCAATTAAAAAAACAGTATCCTAAGGCTTGCTCCTAAACTTAAAATTCAGGGGCTTAGGATATAGCTCAGTTGGCAGAATGCTTGCCTTACATGCACAAGGCCCTGGGTTCAATCCCCAGCACCATCAATCAATCAATCAATCAATCAATCAATCAATCAATCAATCAATAAATCAGTCTTCAAGCACCAAATAGAGTTTGGAGAAAAAAACCCTAATTTCTTCTTTGCTTTTTTTGGATAGAAATCTAAAAATGAGGGCTGGGGATGTGGCTCAAGCGGTATCGCGCTTGCCTGGCATGCGTGCGGCCTGGGTTCAATCCTCAGCCCCACATACAAAGATGTTGTATCTGCCGAAAATTAAAAAATAAATTTAAAAAAAAAAAAGAAATCTAAAAATGCTTTCCAACAAATACTATACCAAGGCATTTTCTTGGAAAAATACTTAGGGGAACCAGGTATGGGACACACACCTGTAATCCCAGCTATGAGAGGCTGAGGCAGGAGGTTCATAAATTCCAGGGCAGCCTGGGCAACTTAATGAGACCCTACCTCAAAAAATATTTTTTTTAAAAAGGCTTGGGGGGAGTGTAATTGGGGATTTAGCTCAGTGGTAGAGCATACCTGGGTTCAATCCCTGGTAGCACAAGAAAGAAAAGATGGAGGAAAATGATTCTTCTGTTGGTATGATTCAAAAGGAGCCTGGGACCTGGCTTCCTGGACGTGTCTCCTATCTTCTGTGAGGTAGCACATACCACCTTTAGGAGCAAGAGGCTCTACTGTCAAGCCCCAGGGCCCAGCTCCTTCTCCACCTCTTACTGAACAGGTATCTTTGGGCAAGTGACTATTTTTCTGTGCCCCAATTTTTCCATCAGGAAAGTGAAATTTTTTTCTTCTCCTACTAAAATGGGAGGAAGAAAATACACAGAGTCTCTCTGGACCTAACTAACATGACAAATCACTTCACATTTTTGATCCACACAACATCCAGGAAAGAGGAACTCTCTCCAACTTAACAGATAACCGAGTTCCTTATGACACACTTCAACATAAGCCAAACTTTCCCAGTATCTGCCAATATTATTACATTTAGGGGAGAAAAGTAACTTTCAGAAAATTAGTTACAAGTAACAATTTTAAATCTTTCTTAGTTTTTAAACAAATTCCTCCCAAATAAACATTCAAGTTATAAGAAAACAAATTTTAGAATTAAGTTATTTCAGGAAAGGCACAAGGAATAGCTCCTCTTAATCTGAGTTTGTCTAAGGAAAACTGGCCCCAGCTGAGAATTAAAAGTAACCCTTTTATTAATAATGTTAATAATACTTTAATATATAAATTATTAACAAAATTAATAACATTACTTTCCCTTTTAATTACATAATTGTCAAAAAGGAGCCAAATACCTCTAAACTTGTTTTTGTGCTACAAATATATGACTCTATTCCAGGGCTGGAGATGCAGCTTAGTGGTGGAGCACTTGTCTAGAAGGTGTGAGGCCCTGGGTTCAATCCCCAGTACTGTAAAAAAATAAAAAGAACGTATTGCAGGAGAGAAACCTCAATGATTCAGGGCTTAACTTTCCATCTTAAGAGATTCCCCTGCTTTTTGCCTCTCCAGCTCTCACCCAGTTCACTTACCCTCACTCCTTGTTAATGCCATCACTGAGGCAGCACTGACAAATGCTCAGTCAGAGAATCTGGACCTAATGGCTACAATACCCCATGAGCTGACCCTGACCACCAGAGGGATCAGATAAAAACCACCTTACAGACCTTAAATCATATTGAAAATGATCTACTTCATACTGTAGAGAAATGATCACAGAGGGGTTCGACAGCTCAATGTCTTTAGACAAGTTAGAACAAGATACATGATCTAAGAGGTTAACAAACAACACACTGTTTTCTTCTGATACTGATGTATAGATTTTAGAATTGAGTGAAGGCCATTTTCTACAAGACCAAAAACAATAACAACAACAAAACTAACCCGAATGTGTCTGGTTCAGTTAAAATAACTGAATTGTTTAATGTAAACAAAACAAAAAGATGGTCATTTTTCTGTTCTCAGTCATCAAAACTACAGACAGGGGGGAAATGATTAATACACAAAGAGTTAGACCTTCTACTCCCTGGAACCAAAGTGAACATCAGACAGCAGAGTTTACATACAGATCTAGGAAAGAAATACCGGTGCTGTAGACAGTCATCTCTGTCTACATCTCCCTCAATGATAGTCCCATAGATCAAAAGAGTAATGGAAACTCCGTCACTGTTCAACAGTTCTACCATAAGATGTTCATAGAAGCTTCTAATCTTTGGTCTTCTTTCATTCCTGAGATCCCCCAAATATCACTTTGAATGAAAGCTCAATTACTTTTCTATTAATCATAAAAAAATAAAATGAAAAAAGCAGGTAAGATTTTAAAAGAGACAAAAAAGGCTAAGGGAACAAGTCTCCACAGAAGGAAGATTCTCATCTCAACTTGTTTGTTAATTGTTCCTACATGAGAGTAACTGATTTTCCCCTTTGGGAGAGTGACTTTGGACTGCTGGTAAGGAAAGAGGATATAGGCCTAATCTTGTTACTGGGAACTAATTAAAGTATAATTCATTCTAGTGTGAGAATTCTACTAGAAAGTACAAGGCTGTGATTTAGGACTCTGTCATTATGGCATTTCTCCCTTAATGTGACAACTGTTAAGGGTCAAAAGTTTTAGGGGCACAATTTATGTTAACACAGTTTTATGTTAACATTGGCTTTCTTTCCCCACCATAGAGTAGCCTTCTAATCACACAAAACATTCTCTCCATTGTGCATACTGAAGCATTCTTTCAGGAAACTGAAGTAGAAAACTTCAAGAGTACTTCCCTCCATCCAATACCCCCCTCCACCTGATGGACCAAGTTCTTTCTAGAACATAATGAAAAGTAAAAACACTTCAAAATGGCATCTTGCATACATAATATATCTTCCATAATCTTCCATAATCTGCATACTTAAAGTCTCTAGTGAATTCAAGCAACAAAATATAGCTATCCTAAGGACAATTACTGGTTGCTGAACTATAAAATAAGTGTTTAAAGATAGGTTTTCAAAGGTCCATTACACTTCTATAAATACTTATGTGGGGTGTGTATATTGGGGGGGGGGGAGAATACATGCAAAAGCATATACTGCTTTGCTGGGAAGAGAGTAAATAATTTCCTCAAAGGAGCCATGACTCAAATAAGAAGAAAAAGAGTTTAAACCACTTCAATTAAATAAGATTGCTTTTGTTCTCTGAATAAATTAATTTCTTTTAATTACACAACATAAACTGCTTTATTTAGCTTAAGCAGCGAAAACAACCCAGGATCTATGACCACATTTCCTACCTCTGTGTCCCAGGAATCCTGAAAAACAGGGTTTCTACTACTCCTTTTGGTCTGGGGGGGAAGATGGTTATCTTCTTCATTGCCATTCCTTCTTCTTTTCCTGAAATTAAAATACAAGGAAGGGAAAGAAAAATCCAATAATTGATCTTTTACACTTAAACATGACAACATATAAATTTGCCCTGTTGCCTGAGAGAATTTAATTTACCACATGATATCCCAAAAGGTAGAAGCTGGAAGTATTACCATCACTTGGCCCTAAGAGCAAAAATATAAAGCAGGAGCAGCACAAGCTTAAATTAGTACGACTAATTTCTAAACAGAAGCCTGACAACTTCCAAAGTCTGCTGGGAACAAAATAAGAAGAAGTTAATGACTAAGCTTTCAAACTCCAAGTTTTCTTCTTTCCATGTTCTCTGAAATGACAATTTCAAATTACCTAACTTTACTTCCTTCCATACAACAACATTGAAGAGATGAGTGGCTGCTTTTGACTATTTGCCCAGAAAATCCTTATTAAAAATGGTGCCACACAGGAATATCACAGATTCATGGCAGCCTCTGATCTTTAGTTTTCTGCATCCCTGACTTCCCCCAATTATCACACTAAACAAAACCTCTGTGCCCTCCAGAGGATTTGAATACTCTTCTGGGCAATCACTAGGGAAGCAACTCTTAGCCACGTTGGCCTGGCTGGTCTGGCCATGCTCCATTATGATATAACAGTCACTGCACTTTACTAGGTTGTTGCTTTGAGACCACAGCATCAGCTGCTTAAAATTTATGGGTTTGAAGAAAACTCATCTTTTTCAGGCAAGTGCTCCTAGATATATAAGAGATAAAATAGCATGCACTCTATACAAAAATTAAGTGCTGTCAAAAGATTTCTAAACCCTAACCCCAATAGTACAGTCCTATATGGTAATCGCTAACCATGTAGTTCTTTAAACTTAAATAAAATTAAAAATCCAGTTCCCAGGTCACACTACATTTCTAGTACAAAATGGCCATGTGTAGTCAATATCTCCTGCACTGAACAGCACGGATGGAGGATGTTCCCTTTGCTGCAGAAAGCTCTGTTGGGTAGGATCTGCTAGAGGTCACATATACAACACACAGCATATATTATGAAGAAAATATATTCTAATTTTAGTTATTAATGCTTAAACGTTCAAATTCTTTTGTGTGTGTGTGTGTGTGTGTGTGTGTGTGTGTGTGTGTGTATGGTACTGGGGATTGAACCCAAGGTCTTATACAAGCAAGGCAAACACTCCACCAACGGAGCTATATCCCCAACCCTCAAATTTCTATAGTTAACAGACAAGAGGCTAGTGAGAGAGAGGAAAACTGCTTTTTGGAAAGTATATGGGGTACAGTATCCTCTATACAATTATCAACTTCATATGAGGGTAGAGTTGGCTTACTATGATGCCCTTGATCCTAAGTGAAATCTGGATATTGTACAAACTTTATCACTCCCAGCTCAGTTCCCTGTACTCTGCACATTTGAAATACTTCTAACTTTATTAATGATTATGGGCCCCAGTGTAGATCTGGAATGATAAAGTGAGTTGTGTGACACTGATTAAGCTTTAAACAACCTGCTACACTGTGGGCTTCACCATTTACCTAATTCTGAGACTCAGTTATTTGTAAAGTAAGACCATATTTAGATTAGATCTTATTTGCATGTTATTTTTTATGTACTTGGAGGTTAAAACTAGATGAATTCCAGATTAATCATTAAATGAATGTCTTATCATAAACTTGGACCAGGAAACTTCTACTTTCATAACAACATGATCAGAGAATTTAAGTGGGAATGTGCAGCAGTAGCAAAACACTATCTGCTGGGAGCCAGTTGACACCAAAGAGAAAGTCACTGAATGGCAGGATGCTGTCCCTGAGCGCTGGTTTCATCAGTATGTCAACAGCTGATTATGCTTTGGGTTGCTGACTCACTCTAACCAAACTTATGAGCCTGACTAAAATTTGCCATTTCCTCATTTATAACAGGGGCTGTATCTTTCCAGTGACAAGAATGTCAAGGAGGTTGTATAGAAAAAAAAAAGTCTTAAGTAGATGGGCTTTTGAATTTTAACTAAACCCTGGGAAAGCCACATAAATATTCCTGCTTCATAATAGGTTGATTCTCAAAGTACTAACATTATCTCTCTGGTGTGTGGGTAATCCTCTCCTTCAGGTAGTAAGGGATTAAGAATGAATAGTACCTATTCCTCATTCTCTTTCCTAGGCTCTTAGTAGGGTCCATCTTTAAAACATTCTGCTTTCACCAGTCTTGCTAATTGGCAAGATTACTGCTTCATGCTCATCTGTCAGTACAATCAGATTATAGCTTCTGACATTAATGCCATAGACCATGTTATAATTTTGGCAGGCACCCTGTCATTGATTCTATTATCCCCTCACCATCTAGGTACAGATGACTGCTTAGCATCTGTTACTTCACACAATGGCTGATTCTACTACTTTTTGTAATTTTATTTATCTCTAACCTTCCTATCATCTTCTAGGGGCTGAGAAGTAATCTTAGACTATGAGGCTGGGATTCAAACTTTTAAAAAAATAATGTAAAATCTTGTTTCTTTGTGGGACAAGAAACTCTGAGTATATATAGATAAGGATCTTTTTTAAAGTAGGGACTCCTTCACCAGACACCTCTCAATAGTTTCAGCATACTGTGGGGAACAGGTAGGAAAAAAAAAATCACCATCTTGGATCAACCCTTCATCTCAAAATTGAGGAAAGAGATACAAAGAAATGAACTGAGTTGGAAATGGTAAGACAGAAAAATGAACTGGCAGAGCTGGTTCATGACCCTCCTTAAATGCAAGATGAAGTGAAAAACAGGCAAGAAAAGCCTGTAAAAAAAGAAAAATTACTTCTTTTTAAAAAGTTACCATTATAAACATGACCAGATTATTTGTATACATACTAAATAAAAGAAATCTACTATCTGGATAAACACATTCAAATTATTTGTGTACAGTACTGGAAAAAAAATTTGCAGGAAATTATTTAGACTTCTTCAAATATGTGAGACAACACAAAAAAAAAGTATCAGAACTACAAACTGGGTCTGGGAAGCAAAAAATATCAGATCAAGCTTATTATATCTTAAGATTCTGTTCCTAATTCTGATGGCATATCTGTAACTGGGCCATAATTTCAATTTGGCCTAATTCAAATGTTTCAACAATCCTATTAATAATCAGCAAGATTACTGCTTCATGCACCTATTGGGACAGATTATACCTTTTGGCATTAATGTCACAGACCAGGTTATAATTTTGGAAGGCACCTTATAAATTCAAATTTAGTCCACTCTTCTCTTCCGTACAATTAGATGCTTTATGCCCCACTTGCTACATGACCCAAATTAATAATCCAATGCAGGCTGAGGAGCCCTATGATAACTTCAATGCCATGAAATAAGTGTGTTTCGGAGAAGCGTCCTTTGGAAAGAATGCCAATTACACTCACAGCCAATGAAAACCAGGAACAAAAAAAGATCCAGCATCATCTACAAAGGCAATCCTATGATCCATCTTACTTAGGCCTGAAACTACTATGGAATAAAGGGCAGTGAACCTGGACAGACCAGGATAAATCAACTGATCTCTATAAATCTATCTCCTTGAAGAAGAGAAAGTTGGACTTGGCGATCTACAGGTTTTCACTTCAAGCTCCACGATGAGGGATTTCTCTAATCTGAAATAAAGCGGATCTTCTTCTCTCTGGAGTAATACATCCAAACTTTCTCCTCTCTGCCTTCTTGGAGGGAATAATAATAATAATAATAATAATAATAATAATAATAATAATAATAATGAGATCCCAGCTGAGACCAAGCTGGGGGGCCAGGCAGTGCCCACCTCGCCTTCGGAGCCAAACGGCCCGACGTGCGAACAGTTTAGAACCCTGCCTGTTACAGCCACAGCCCAGACCACAGCACCGGGCTGCTCCTCTCCAGCTTCACAACCGTCCGGGGCGGCCCGGCGTCCTCCGGAGCCCCGCTGCGGTAGGGTCAGGCCGACCCCCTGCTCCTGACCTTGGGAGCGCGCGGCGCCCGCCCCGGGGCTGCCCCTCCGAGGCCAGGCATTCCTCCCATCCCCCCACCCGCCCAAATTTAGGACAAGGAGCCTTCAGGGCCACCGTCTCTCCCCCGGCATCGGACAGGCCGCCTCCCAAGCAGGAAAAGACAGCCCAAGATGTAAGAAGGAAAGGGGACAACGCTGAACCCGGAGTCCCCGCTCCGGCACCCACAGGACCGGGCACCCGGCCACTCCGCATCCCTCTCCCCGCCTCCCCGCCGCAGAGCAGCCTGACGGAGCCCCGCAGCGCCCAGGCTTCGCAGATCCCCGCTTCGCGCGCCCCCCTGGCCCCATCCCCGCGGCCCCCTGGCGAGGGGCCGGGCAGGAAGGGGATCCCTTCTCACCTGGGGCGGAGGCGCTCGCTCATGGCAGCTGGTGGAGAGGAGCGACGCGGCGCCGCCCCGCGCGAAGCGCAAATAGGGGGGGTTGTGTTCCGGCGGCCGCCACGCCCACCCCCTCGGGTCTTGGCTCTCGCCGCCGCGCGGGTGGACGCTGCGGGCGGTGAGTACCCCTCAGTCGGACCCGTACCACCGCTACTTCCGGCGTCTCCTCCGCGCCCCCCCATGTCGCAGCCGCCGTGGTACCGCCCCCTTGCGGCTGCGCAGTGGCGCAAAGCCGGCCGCGCTGACCGGTAACCCCGCCCACAGGAAAAGGCGGGCTCGCAGGGGGAGGTGCGACTGGAGCTTCTGGGAGAGCGGACCCTGTCGGAGGTGGCCGGAGCGTTCGCCTGTTCACAGCCAGGACGGAATAGACTCAAACTCCAACCAGGTTGAAAATACATTAACTTATGCCACAATAATTGACACAAGTATTTTAATTGAATCCCTGTTTGGTAACGCTTCAGAAGACTTAGGCGGGCCGCATCAGGCAGCGGCGCGGATGCCTGCCGCGGGTCCCGGGCCTGGGGGTTGGAAGGCGCACGCGGGCTGCCCAGGGTCGACGCGGCGCTGCCCGGACTTTCAGGTGTGCCGAGGTGCCGACGCTGCTCGGCGGCGAGTCCCCAAGGGTGAAGCTGCTTCCCACGGCCCGCGCTCGAGGACTGGGGGGAGACCCGAGGCTAGAGCGGGGCGGAGAGGCCCCCTAAGCCCTCGGGTTCCGCCACCTGCTGGAGGGGGCGGGGCGAAGAGGTGCCCGCGGCAGGGGGCGCGGAGATGGGCGTGTAGGTGGGCGGGGCTGCTGAGCCCGACTCGCCGCCGCGGCCGCGTCCGGTGCGGCGTTTCCCCGCTGCGCGTGCTGTCCAGTTAACTCTTACACAGTAAGGTGTCTCGCACAGACTGGCGGTCAGGTCTCCTCGGCCCGACGGAGCGGTGGAGAGAAAGCATGGGATCCGGCAGAAGCAGCCGCAGAACTAGCCGCCGCCTCTGCTAGGGGAGCTCGGGTAAGAGCAGGCGCCGCCCGCGGGGAGACGGCGCGGTGGGAAGGCCGAGGTCCTCCCGGAGGTGGGTGAGGCGGGAGGGCTGTGGAGGCCGACCCGTCCACCGGAGTCTCTCGGTTCCGACGGGATGGCTCCGGCGGTGTTTGGTAAGTAAACGGTCCGTGGCTTCCAACATACTGTCAGCGTGTTCTTCCGAAGAGAGAATCGTCGCTGGGCACCACTGGCAGGAGACGGTTTCGTTTTGCATGACTTCGTGTAGCTCACGTGGATATTTGTTTTGTGACTTCAGATTCTGCTTTCTGATCTATGTAATGGCCAGATGATGTTCTCAATTGCGGTGCAGTGTAATTATGTTTAGAGAAAGAATTCATTCATCATGTTGCATGCCAGGCTCAGTGCTGGGTTTTGAACGCAGGATGGGCGTTCCCTGCCCTCTGGAACGATATAGGAACAGAAAGGTTTCTAAAAGAAGTAACTTTCAAATGAACTCTGGAATTAAACATTTTCTTTTCTCAACTCTTAGAGTATATCAAAGAGGTGTAAATAATGCACGGTGTAAGCGCATTAAAACTTTTTACATAGTATATGTTTAACAAAGATGTTAAATGAAGCAAATTTGTCAATAATTGTCATAATACAAACTTTGAGTGCAAAACTGGGGACCATGTCTCTTCACATAGTTGTTTGTGCATTATATGTACATTTACAGTTTTGTGGAGTTTTTTAATATTTATTTTTTAGTTGTAGTTGGACACAACACCTTTATTTATTTATATGTGGTACTGAGGATTGAACCCAGGACCTCACACGTGCTAGGCAAGCTCTTTACCACTGAGCCACAACCCCAGCCCATGTACATTTTATATGCATGTATGTGCATGCATATTACTAACATGTTAAATTTTGTAGAGCTTCATTTTTTATATCTAGATAATGGGAATTCTAATAATTTCCTCTTCCACTGCAATGGATCTTACAAACTTTTTTTTATTTTTTTGAGATGGTCTCACTATGGCTTGCCCTGAATTTGTGATTCTCCTGCCTTAGCCTCCCACATTGCTGAAATTACAAGAGTGCACCATCATGCTTGGCATCATATATTCCTTTTGAAACCTTTGCTCTAATTAATAATTTTTGGATCCTGACCTGAGTTTAATTGGTCACTTTTCCATCCGTGAGTAATGTAATTTTTTTTGTGCTGGGAATTGAACCTAGGAGTGCTTCACCACTGAGCTACATCCCCAGCCCTTTGATATTTTTTTTTATTTTGAGACAGGGTCTCACTTAGTTGCTTAGGGCCTTTCTCAGTTTGTTGAGGCTGGTCTCAATCTTGTGATCCTTCTGCCTCAGTCTCCTGAGTCCCTGGGTTTATAGGCATATGCTCCTGCACCTAGCTCTTTAATGGTTTTTAAACAATTTATTTTCATGTAACATCCAGTTGCTTAGCAATAACAAAAAATATAAGCAAATAAACATTTTATTCTGGTTGGTGTTTTGGTCATCTTTTCCTTACACTAACCACTAATTTATTAGATATAAGTCTTTAGGTCTTAGTTACTGTTTTTATTAGGTGTTTTTTTTGTTTGTTTGTTTGTTTGTTTTTTGCTGCTATGACTAAAAGACCCAACCAGCACAATTGTAGTGGAGGAAGAGTTTATTAGAGGGCTCAGGCCATAGAAGGCCAGCTCCATTCCTCAGGGCTCAAGGTGATGCAGAACATCATGGCGGAAGAGTGTGGCAGAGGGAAGCACCTCACAAGAAGCAGAAAGAGTCCGTCTCCATTCCCCAGATACAAAATATATGCCCCAAAGCCACTCCCCAATTCCCACCTCCTCTAACCACACCCCACCACTACAATTACCACTTAGTTAATCAGGTGATTCATTCACTGATTGGCTTAAGACTTATCACCCAATTATTTCTTCTCTAAACCTTCTTTTTTTTTAATATTTTTAGTTATAGACGGATGCAGTATCTTTATTTTGTTTATTCATTTTTATGTGGTGCTGAGGATCGAACCCAGTGCCTCACATGTGCAAGGCAAACACTCTGCCACTGAGCCACAACCCCGGCCCCCTCTAAACCTTAAATTGTCTCACACATGAGGTTTTGGGGGACACCATATCTAAATCATAACAGTTATCTTCTTGTTAGGAATATTGAAAAAAATCTCTTTGTCTTTTCTATAACAGATTTCTAGAAGACTTTAAGAAAAAGTAAAATACTAAGCATAAATAGAACCAGGAATATTTATCCTAATATCAAGCTCTGTCTTCTGGTTTTTGCCTCAATACAAAAAAGAATGAATGAAAACAAAATTTTAAAGTTTCCTTTAACCTAGGTGTTCCAAATGAGTTTAAAAGGTAAAACACATATATCAAATAGTGGTGTTTACAAGCTCTGTACTCCTCACTTCTCGTGTTTGCCTTTTTCAGGAAGAGGATGCGTGATCTTCCACCCAGAATGGAAGTGTGCCCTTATTGTAAGAAGCCATTTAAGCGATTAAAATCTCACTTGCCATACTGTAAGATGAGAGAACCAACCATATCTGCTGATCAGAAAGTTTATCCATCCAAGCCAGCTACTCTTCCACGTGCTAAAAAAATGAAGGGACCAACCAAGGACTTAATTCAAACTAAAGGGAGAGAGTTAGAGACAGAGAGTGAGGAAAGAAATACCAAACTGACAAGGGACAAATCAGAACAGTTGTTGCTCTCTTCGCTATTAGCTGTTGGCCCAGAAAAAGCAAATACTGCAAAGGATCAAAGCCATCTGTCCTTGACAGTGCCAAAGCACACTGAACCAAAGACAGCTTCCCAAGGTGAAACTAAGGCTCGGCTTGATGCATCAGATAACACTTCTGCTGAAAGAGAACTTGCCCAAGATCGGCTTGAATCAGAGAGAAGTAGATGTGATCCTTCAGAAATGGAAGCAGCTTTACTGGTTGGCCCAGTGGAACTTTCTTTGTCAAATCAAGATAGAAAATACTCCTCAGCCCTGCCTGATGAGGTACGAGCCACTTCTGTTAATCTGAAATCAGACACAATTGATCCCCAAGGACAAGGGCTTCCAGTTAAATTAATAGATGTATCCATGGCTGATAATCATTGTTCTCCAAGGAATCTGAGCAAAGGAGTTCAAAGGTTAAGAGTATCCATGTGGAGCAAAGAAAGACATTCCAGAGAAAGAGGCTGCCTCCCAGGAGCCTCTGCTGACGCTGGTGACACTGAGACTCTGGAAAAGAAGTCAGCATCACCCACTGTGGGCCTTCATGTTAGCCCATTAGGTGAAATCCAAGTCAAGGAGAACCAAGGAAAAGGACTTGGCCTTGGAGTAGAAGCCTGTGGGAGCAAAGGGAATGCAGAGGGAAGTGGGTCTGCCACAGAAGTGCAGGAGCAGGCCTCCGTGAGCCATGGCTCTGAGCACTTTAACACTGGCGCTTCAGCCTCAGAGGGGAAGTTGGAAGATGCAGGTCCATTTCCAATTCTGTTCACTCCACAGGAGGTAGCTTACAGTGAGTTTCTTTCTGCATCAAAGTCAGATAATCAAAGTCTTGTTTCTCTGGCTATAAAATCTCTTCAAGAAGAGAAAGCACAATTCTGCAATCATCAGCAGGTTCCTGGTGTAAAGTTATTAGCTGAGATTGAGGCACGAATTCTGGAGCCCAGATCTGGCTGTGGGCCCCCAGCATTGTACACTGGGTTCCCGCAGTCTCTGCATGCAGCTCAGCATCCATTTTCTAAAAGCTCCTTAATCAGTTATTTTGGTACTGCTGAAAGAAAGAGGCCTCCTAGCTCTGTGGGGTTGGAGTGGTTTCCAGAGCTCTATCCTGGTTATCTTGGACTAGGGGTATTGCCGGGGAAGCCTCAGTATTGGAACTCAGTGGCCCAGAAGCCCCAGCTCTCCAGTCCTCAGGGAGAAAGTGTCTCACAAGGTAAAGTAGCTCATTTTCAAGGGCCATCCAGCCCATCCTGGAATCTGGTATTTTTAAAATAGAACAAGAATACTAGGGCTAAGGCTCAGTGGTGGAGTGCCCGCCTACCATGCATGAGGTACTGGGTTTGATCCTCAGCACCACATAAAAATAAAATAGGTGTTCATCTAAAACTAAAAAATAGATATTAAAAAAAAGAACAATACTAATATTTTCATTTATACAGCTTATTTTTACTAAGACAGTCTTGGTGGTGATCTCTTTTTTTGGGGGGTGTACCAGGGATTAAACTCGGGTGCTCTACCACTGAGCCACATCACCAGCCCTATTTTGTATTTTATTTAGAGACAGGGTCTCATTGAGTTGCTAAGTGCCTTGCTATTACTGTGGCTAGCTTTGAACTTGCAGTCCTCCTGTCTCAGCCTCCTGAGCTGCTGGGATTGCAGGCATGCGCCACCACGCTTGGCTTTGATGGTGGTCTTAACGGTTATGAGAACATTACTTCTTGCTCAAGGGGTCAGTAGTAGTGATTTATCATTCTCTGTCCCACAAGGGCTGACTATTGAATTAGGGCAAGCTGATACTCTAGAGCAGTTGAGTTTCTGCATCAGGAAGAGGCTTGACTGGTAGAAAGTGGATGGATAAAGACTGCTGAATTCACCTAAATAGAACAAGCACTGGGTCTAAAATTCAGTCAGGACCAGGTTGCACAGAAAATAAATTCCAAGTTTATAGTCAAATGCAACATCTGCAAGTTTGGAGTAGCAGAGGAAGTAGCAGAAGCTGTTTGTGGAGTTAGGGATACGAGGGGTTAAAACTGGACAGAGAAGTGGCAGTAGAGTCACATAGCTGGAAGTGGAGACTGAGATGGACCAGGAAGATGAGGGACCAGGAATGAGCATGTGGCAGGAAGGGGGTAGAAGTCTGTGCATTGGAAGAACTGGGCCACAGAGCTTAGGAGCCAAGATTAGAGCCAGCGGTTGAGCCTCAAGACCTGAAAGATGGGATCCGAAGGATTGGGAAAAGACACAGGTATTGAAACTGACCTTGATTGTCATCTCTTTAAGTAGCTGTCTAGGTAGATTGGGGGGAGGTGGCCCAAGTGGGAGCCAGGACGATCCTGATCCATTTCAGGTATCCTTGCCTTTCTCTGCAGGACCTCACCTTTATTACTAAACTACCTCTCTAGTTACTCCACACAAAGCTTTGTCATTGTGCTCACCAGGAAGCCTTTTCTGAAAGACTTTTTAGGGGTATAAAGTAGCATCCTTCTCCCTTGTGTCTTGGTCATTGGTACTTTCAGGCTGTCTTTATAGGAGACCTGTAACAACTCGGAATAGGTTTCCCCTGTAAAACCGATGTTTCCTCCTCAAAAAGGAGATATTTTTCCCCTTTCTGGTATATTTTGCAAATGATCACATATTCATTAAACTGCTACTTGTCTGACCTCTAATTATCCTTTTTTTTTTTTTTTTTTTTTTTTAAATACTATGCTGGGGATTGAAGCCAGGGCCTCATGTATGCTGCTGAGCTAAACAGGCCTTAACATCTTCAGCTTTGATACGAAGTTGTTGTCTGGAGGTCAAGCTCCTTCTCCACATTAACACAGATTTAGCTACATTAACGGTTGAGTTGATTTGAGTTTTCAGAGTACTTCTCTATTTTGCAAAGGACAGGTTCAGAGAGGATTAGTGATTAGTCCAAGGTCATGTTGCCAGTAAGTGGTGGAATTGCACTAGAACCTGTCTCCTGCAGTTTCCTTCATCCCTCCCGCCGTACAGACTGTAGAAAGCATGCCATGAGAAACCCGAGTCACAGCTCCAGACTTCACTGTGTTTTACTTGCACACGTAGACACCCACCCCATGGTAAATCCCTCTGACAAACAGGACTCCTTTGTTTCCTCCTTTATCTTTTATAGTGCTAAAGAGTGTCTTTGTTACATCCATTTTTCATTTTATAGGAAAAAGGGAGGGACTACTGTTGATCAGTGATGACTGTGTCATTGTGCTTGGTACATTACATACCCTCTTGTTTAATATCATAAAAGTTCTAAGGTGATGTTATTGTTCCCACCCTCTTATACCAGAGGGACCTGAGCCTTGGATGTCTGAAGAGACTTGATCTCATTCCTACAATAAGTGATAGTCAGGAGTCAGATCCAGACTGGCTGATCTTAACCTTACCTGAGGCTTACTATTTTATTTGAGGTCATTAGTAGTCAGTATCTTGCTTAACGTGAGTTATTAACTGAGTCATTTCACTTCAGTGGGTCCCAAGGATATAATAATAAGCAATTCTGTAACTTATTTTTTTTTATTGGTTGTTCACAACATTACAAAGCTCTTGACATATTTCATACATTAGATTGAAGTGGGTTATGAACTCCCAATTTTTACCCCAAATGCAGATTACAGAATCACGTCGGTTACACATCCACAATTTTACATAATGCCCTATTAGTAACTGTTGTATTCTGCTACCTTTCCTATCCCCTACTATCCCC